TTTTCATTTTTTGGAAAATGATTACACACTTTAATCTCATTTTAAATTTTTTAATTTTAATTAAATTAATTAGCTATCTTAATTTTAATTTATAATTATTTATATTATAGGATAATTATTTTCACTAATACATTCTTAATTATCTACTAATTACACCCCTCCTAAAATATCTTGTTTACAGTGTAGCAGACACGGTTTTTGGGATGGAGAGAGTATATGTTATAATTAATCTCAATATAATAAAATATATTAATAAATATAAATATTAATATAACATAATTATATTATAAATAGGGGCATGGATCAGTTGCTGATCCGGTCAAATCAACATAGTATGATATATGTATAAATATACGATGATTACCTGTATAGTGTTGATTTGACCGAAATAATATATGCTATACAGGTAATCATCGTATATTTATACATATATCATCATATTTGTAATACAACATATGCTATATTATAACTCAATATATATTGTACTATGTGCAAATATATATTGGTTATATATATATATGATATAGACCAGATGAGTACATGATCCGCGGCCTATAGACTCATAACACACAGTAATTCACAAAACACATATTCCCTCTGTCCCAATAAAATAATCTTATTTACTATTTTTGTCCGTCTCAAAACAATAGTCTTATTCTTATATATACTCATATCATCATAAAATTATCTTTATTTTTTTTATTATTACACAAATGTTATTACTTTTTACGTTAATACACTCACAAGAACAAAAAAAATTTTTATTCATTTTTTTTTTATCGATTATTAATATAAAAATCAATATTTTTTAAAATTTTATATCTAACTCAATTAAGACCAAAATTTTGAGACAGAAAAAAAAATATTATTTTAATTTCAATATTGTATTTATCCCATATTAAAATGAACAAATTCACTATGATAGACATCTCCATATAAGACAAAAATAACATTGGATATATATATATATACGATTGTGGGGAATTGAAGTAGGAATGTGATGATGATTACAAAATGTCCTCAAGATAACACAACATACACACACATATATATATATATATATATATTAATTTTATTAATTAATTAATAAATAAATAAAAATAAGACATCGGTAAGAGGTTGGCATGGGCTTATGTTATGTTGAGAGTATCACGCGCAGCCGCACGCGCATCCCAACTCCCCACTACATTGCTTCTTTTCCACTTCTCTTTCTATACTTAGTTTATAAATTTGGAGATTTTAAATTAATTCTTAAAAATTAATTTTAAGATTAAACATTCTTTTCGTCCAAACTCAAATTCTTTTTCTTATAGTATTTTCATATGTTTCACCGTGAAATAATTTTTTTTTATTTTAGTAAAAGTAATTATACACTAATATTAAATACCCTTAACTTTTATTTCAATTACAAATATATCATTACACATACATTTACTTTATATATAAAAAAGCAAATGGCAAAAATGTCAAAACTTCTTACATATTTTCACTACTAATAAAATATTATTATTTCTTAATATATTATAAAATTCCAACAGATTCCTTTGGAGTGGGACAGATTCCCTCCGTCCCATATCTGCTATCTATTTACTTTTTGCATGTAGTTTTAAAAATATTAGTATTATATTGAGATGCAGAAGAAATAAAGGTAAAAAGACTAAACTATTCTTATTAGTATTGTATGATATAAAGATAATGACATTTGTGTAATATATTGTAAATTGAAAGGGTATTTATAATGTTAGGTAAATAGTACAATTACTAAAAAAATAAAATTAATATTTTGTTATAAGACAGACCAAAATAGGAAAATTGATATATTATTAAGGGGCGGAAAGAGTATTATATATTGCGAGCCAAAAAAATATCGAAAGGAAAGAAACGGCCGCGAGGCAGACAGTGAAGCCGTCGATCTAAGAGCCACAGTCTCTACTCTAATGGATATTTAATACTCCCTTCGTCCTGCATAATTTGTCTCTATTTTTCATTTTCGTCCGTCCTACATAATTTGTCATTTTCTTTTTTAAAATATGATTATATACTTTAATCACATTTTAAATTTTGTATTTTATAATTTTTTTAATCTTAATTAAACTATTTAATTATCTTAATTTTAATCTATAATTATTTTTATTATACAATACTTTTTTTTACTAATACACTTTTTTAATTACTTACTAATTATATTTTACTTAAATTCTCGTATCTAATAGTCTCGTATTATCTGGAACGGAGGAAGTAGATGCATCCTATTTTATTGTGACAATAAAATATTGAAATATTATAAATAAATTTTCATATAATTATATCTATTCCTTAATTACTTACTATATATGTATCTATTTATATTATTGTGTATGTATTCATATTCACTTATACTATTCAAAAAATTTAATTTCATATAAAAATACATTAAAAATTATTAATCCGCATGTTATAACGATATATACAACACATAGTTGAGATTACAACTTGTGTTGGCATTGTTAATGTACTGTGTTATATTACCATGTGATATACACTGACATCAACGATGATATGTGTCGAGTATTTTTGTTTGCAGATAAATAAATTAATAATATTTTTTCTTAATAATTTGAGCTTTTAAGTGAGACGATTATTTTGCGTATCCGACATAGTATATATTGAATTAAAACGTACTGTTAACACAATAATAATTTAATTTAATCAAAATTGTAGTCGTGCTATATATATATATATTATATTCAAATTATATATTATATTCAAATTACTGGTAAAAAAAATTTAAACATTTCAAAATCTATAACACATTCTATATAACTCTGTAGTAAGTCGAAGACAAAGTGCACTCATTTCATTTGCTACATTTCTCGATAATTTTGTCTTCTGAACTTTCTTCTTGGGATCCATACTTATTGCCACCCAACTTTTCAATTATTATAATATATATATATATATATATATTCATACACTTTATAAATTAATTTTATGATAAACAACAATATTAAAAAAATAAAATAAAATTGTATGCTACTACCTCCTTCCCTCAAAATAAAAAGAAAGTAACATGGTATGTGGGACGGACAGAAACGGCGGATCGAGGTGCGTTGATTGTTTTTTTTTACCGTTATCCGAAAGTGTGCACTGGGTAAACCCCCGACTGAACTTAATACCTGCAAATTAGGCCGGCGAACTATATGTGACAGGTGACCTGAAGCGTTTGGGGTTTGAACCCATGACCTCACACGGTCACAAGTCCAACTCCTATACCACCAGGTCATCCCTTACGGAACGCTAAAATCAATTGTTGTGTGAGTTGTACGTGATTATAGTACGTATTGTTATTCATATATTGTATTTATATTATATTAATATATACAATGTATTATCGATAATAATATTGTACTTCCAAACAACATACGATGTGTTTTTCATTACAGCGCTATAGCCGCGCCGTAATGTATAATATATTATTATATTTTTTAAAATATATGTTTTTTTGGAAATTGTGGAAAAATACACCCATGTCTTTATCCATTTATTGAATACGTAATTAATTTGACAAATATGAATAATTCACACGTGAATGTATTACATATGATGTCCTAAAATAGATATATTTAATTTATATTATATTCTCTCTATCCGATTCCAAGAGTTTTATTTACTTTTGCATTATTGTACTTAACGTTAAAAATAGTTTTATATTTGTATAATTTTCTGCACAAATGTCATTATAATGATATTATAAGACACTAATACAAACATTTTTGTTATTTTTCCTTAATTTGTATTACACTTTCATTTAATAACTAATATTCAAATATAAACACGCCAGCAAACAAGTCTCACACAGATGTTCGGGCCGGGTTGCGGGTACGGACCCGGGCTTCAAATGGGCGGATCGGTTGTATTTGTATTGGGTCTCTTTAATTTATTGGCCCAAAACTCCACAATTTCAATTCAAAATTTTAACGTTCAAAATTAAAATATTGATACTCACCCCGTCTCATAACAAATTATCCATTTTTCCATTTTAGTTTGTCTCATAATAAAGTATTCATTTCTTTTTTTTTAATAACGGTACATTTACCTAACATTACAAATATCCTTACAACTTACAATATATTTCACAAATATCATTATTTTTATATCATACAATACTAATAAGATTATTTTAGTTATTTATATTTTATTCATATTATATTTTAATATAATACTGATGTTATTAAAACTACATTAAAAAAAATAAACAGATACATAATTATGAAAAAAATGGGGTATAATTTTAAAATATGGAATATAAATTGAAGGAATTGCGTAAAAATATTATAAATAAAAATAGAGAAATTCCAAGAATCTGACACGTCATGATTGTGTGTTCGTGCAAATAAGGTAGCACCATTTCTGACGTGACAAACGAACAGCCAATACCAAAATAAATTCGAATAAATATAATTAAAGCATTATAACCTATTCTATTTTACATTCCCCCTTTTTACCTTATGTAAAAGGTTTCTCTTGTTTTTTTTATTATTTTTCTTTTTTAAAAAAAAATGTCTATTCTCGTACATATTTTTTTTTAATTATTTACAGGTTATTTTTGTATTTTTAGCCCACCAAAAATGAACATTATGTCCTTATCAATAATGCCAAAAAAGAAGTGTAAACAACAAAATCCCACCCGCCCACCCCCGCCTAAACATACCAAATATTTTTCTTTAATTTTTTTTTTTCCCAATTTACATTTTGTAAAAATTATAATCCCAAAAAAAAAAAAAACACAAATTAAAATAAAACATTTCTTTGAAACTCAAAATATTTTGCTATGTGAGAGAGAGAGAAGAAAATGAATGTACCGTCCGTACTAAACCCCCCAAAACCTAAACCCCCCCCCCCCCCCCCCCCCCCCCCCCAAATAGTTAATTCCAACCCTAATTCCCCAAAATTGGTACCCCCACCCCACCCCTCCCTACCCTACCCCACCCCTCCTCCACCCCCAAAATCATCTTCCCTATTAGTGAACCAGAGAAAGATTCAGAACACACACATAGAGACATATATATATATGTATGTAGGTATATTATATATAGAGAGAGTGAGAGAGACGAGGGCAAAATGGGAATTTCGGGAGGTGGGTGGTGGGGGTGGGGTGAATGAGGAAGAGGTGGAGAACCTACTACACACTCACTCACTCACTCCATCAAGAAGTTCTTCACAATCTTCACGCTGGGCTGCACCACCTCCCTTTCCCAAATCTCCGCCGCCACGCCGCCGCCGGATTCCATCCTGGCCCTAAACGACGCCGTTGCGTCCACCCTCTTCAGCTCCCACCCGGCCTCCTCCCTCAGCCGTACGATCTTCCCCATCTGCCTCTTCGCTAGCTGACACGTGTTCTCCTTGATCGCCCCCACCGCCTCCCTCTCCTCCCACCCGCCGATAAACCGCCGCCGGAACTCCGCCACTCCGATCGCCTTGTTCAGCCCGCATTTCCGCCGCCACAGCTTCTCCGGCGACCGGAAATACTCCGACAGCTCCGCCGCCATCCCCGATTCGAGCATGTCGTCAACTCTCCTCGATAGGTAATCATTTAACACCGGCGGAAATACGTCGATCCAAATGAAGCAGCAGTTGTACCGGACCTCCTTGCAGAAGGCGGCGCCACCACCTCCACCGCCGCCGGAATATTCGCCGTCGGCGAAAACGTCGATTTCCGGATTGAATCGCTTCGCCATCAATGCGTAGATGAAGGAATTCGATCCGCCGACGACCATCGGCAATTTCCGGCGAGACCAAATCTGCGAGATCGCGGCGGAGGCCGCCGACCGGAAATCCGCCGGCGTGAAGTCGCCGCCGCCGAACTCGCCGAGGAGGTGGTGGCGGACGTTCTTCCTCTCTGGCGGCGGGATTTTATTGGTGGTGATGTCGAGGCCGCGGTAGACTTGGATTTTATCGGAGTTAATGATTTCCGCCGCCGGGAAGAATCCGGCGGCCAAATCGATTGAAAGCTTCGATTTTCCGCAGCCGGTGGGGCCCATGATGACGACGACCTTCTTGTGGCGGCGGCGGAGGCGGAGGGCGGCGGCGGAGGAGGACATTTTGGTCTTTTTGGAGGGCGCGTTTGGGGGAGATGAGAAGAGTTTCTTTTGCGGTATTTGTGGGGGCTGTGGGAGGAAGAGGGAAGATAGTCTTCTCATAAGGAAAAATGGGAATTTTAAAAAACACAAACAAACAGCGCCTTAGGCGTGTGGGTACGGATTTTTAGTGGGAATGAATTTGGAGTGGACGAAGAAGAGTTGTTGGTGGGAGTGTGTTAAGCTGCTGACACTGTGTTTGCGCCTTGTTTGTTTATCAAAATATAGAAATTTTTCACACGCACACACCCGTATGTATGTGTGTGTGATTTGGGGATGTATTGTTGTGGGTTTTGAATGAGGGGAGTTTGTTTGTTTATATACAGAGTTTGGTGTCATCTCCATAAATACGAGTATTTGGATAAGAGAAAAAAACCTAATTTTATAATTTATTTGAGGCGTCAAACAGAACCTTAGAGAGGGCGGCGATCGGGTGCGGCAGGGTGCACTGTTGTGGTATTGTGAGTGCGTCACGCATTGCCGCGTACTGTTCCGGAATCAACATGCTTGTTTTTAAGTTACGTTTGCTACTATTCTTTTACATTATTTTAAATTTAAATATTTTTTAAATATTGCATTTTAATATTAAATATATTCTTTAATAATAATAATAACTATTATTATTATTGTTTTTTTTTTATTTATGTTAATGAAATCATAATTTATTTATAGATGTCATAAGTAAATATACATAATTAATAGCTAACACATAACCTAAGTAAAATATATTACATCGCTCCATTTTGAAAATAAAAGTATTTATTTTAGTAAAATAATACTCACTCCGTCTCACATATTATGTTCATATTGTCGTTTCTATCCTTTCGCATTTCATGTCAATTTTTTTTTTTGAAAATTGATTATACACTTTAATCTCAATTCGAATTTTTTAATTTTAATTAAACTAATTAGTTATCTTAATCTTAATTTATAATTATTTATATTATAGGATAATTATTTTCACTAATATATTCTTAATTATCTACTAATTATATTTATGTTAAATTCTCGTGTCTACAGTGACCCAGACATCCAACGCGGGACGGAAAGAATAATATTTTAATTTTAGTGAATAGTTAAAAATAGTATAAAAATAATTTCGTCCGTTACTATTTTATGTAAAAGTAATGATGTAATAATAAAATAAAAATATTTATAGAAAGAAATGAAGTATTTTTGGAATGATTATTTTGTAATTAAAAAATCCAAAATAAAAATATATATACTTTCTGAGTTGACAAAACGAACAATAACTATATATATATGTATGTATACCTCTCTCCGTCTCATATATTCCTTATCATGGTTACTGTAAATAAGGAAATTTAGGAGGAGTGTGATGACTGATGAGTAAATAATTAAAAATATATTTGTAAAAGTAATTACCATATAATACAAATCATTATAAATTAAAAATTTTAAAATATGATTAAAATATTTAATCTTTTTTCGATAAAAAATAAAAATAACATAAGATATAAAGCGTACTACAATAGCAATATGAATATGAAATATGGGACGGATGGAGTAACATATCTGGTAATGTCGTATAAATCAGCTTATATAATAATTTCTATACTTCACATAAAAATATATATATATCTCAAACTAAAATATTAAACAAATAAACCCAAAACTTTACTAAATAAAGAAAATTCACCATTGATATAGTATAATATACAGAAAAAATCATTTTTGGTTCCAATATAACCAAAATTCATCAATTTTGGTCTCAATATAAAAAAATCTTATCAATTTTGATCATAATATAACTAAAATTCATCATTTTTGTCTCAATATAATAAAAACTCATCATTTTTTGTCCCAATATAATTTTTTTTTTTTTTTATCAATTTTAGTCATAATATAACCAAAACTCATCATTTTTTGTCCAAATATAATCAAACCTTATCTTTTTTGGTCTCACCGTCAACAAACCGACGAAAAATGCTGACGTAAAAAGAAATCAAACCTTATATTTATATTTGAAGAAATTGCACAATCTTACAAATCCACGTCAGCATTTTTCGTCGGTTTGTTGACGGTAGGACCAAAAAAGATAAGGTTTGATTATATTAGGACAAAAAATAATAAGTTTTGGTCATATTAGAACAAAAAATGATAAATTTTGGTTATATTGAGACCAAAATTGATAAAATTTTTATATTGTGACCAAAATTGATGAATTTTGATTATATTGAGACCAAAAATGATTTTTTTCCCCCATAATATAATTAATACGATGCAGATTCACTTAACACAACCATAATAATCACTTATTATTATTATTATTATTATTATTATTATTATTATTAACCATATAATCACTTAAAATTAAGCATTATATCAATTTCATACTTGCACGTATGATTGGATGCGAATTAAGGCTCTATTCTTTTTGAAATTTTATATAAAAAATAATAAAATATCTTATCGAACTTTTATTTAAACATAAAATACAAATACAAACCAAATACACCGAATAAATTCAATATTGTTGAACTAATGCGATTAAATTAACTCAATATATGCGTGACCAACCAAGTTAGGCGTTTCGAAGGATTAGCCAAAAATATACATAAATTTAAATTAATCAATGATTAATTGTATATGTAATAGTCGTGAATTACTAAAACTACTTAAGTCTTGATGCACGGTTAGGTTGTTTGCATGCATGCAAGCCGTACGTACCTAAGATAATTTTATATTATATTAAAATATAATTTTAATTTTTTTAATTATATCATATCGAGTAATTATTCAAATTTAAAATTTTACTATTCAAATAAAAATCGAAAATCCAAACACTCAAACAAACACACCTACGATTATTTGAATGATTTACATATTCAAAATTATTATTATAATTAATTATTGAGTCTTTAGTCTTAATTAATATCGCCGTATATATTTTTTTTATATAGAATATTAGACAATAAAATATCTACTTTTATATAAAAATAAATAAATAAAATACAAACACAATTAAAACATGTTCTTTTGTTTTGTATCAAAAATAAATATTTAGCAAATTATTTTTAATGAAAATTAAGGAATTGGATAGTAAAAAAATATTTAATAATAAAAATGAAAATTTAATAATAACAATGAGTGCAAATATGCTCTAATTACATATATTTTAAAATTAATTTTATTATTATTCGTCAACGTTACATTTAAATATACATATCATACCAAATATTTATTTTCATTAAAAATGTTAAATTAAAATTTTTATGTTATATATAAATATAATATTCAATTACTATTTACATTAAATACTTCATTTTTATTAAAACTATTCTTTAAACTTTTTTTAAATTTTATAATACTTTTACCTTAGTACGCGTGTTTGTATTATGTTTTGATTTGAAGAAAAAAAAAATTATATTAATTATAAAGAACTGTGTAAATAGTATAAAAATTAAAAGTGTGTAATATATTTTTATTTTTTTTTAAAGAAAATATATATATATATATTGTAAAATTTTGTATAAAAGTAATTTAAAGAAAATAAAATTTCTTAATAAGTCTTATATATAACATTCAATATAAGTTTATGCTAAGATAAAAAGGATGAAATGCAATAAATGAAATATATTATATATGTGTTGGTTCGGTTACAATTTTTATTTGAAAAAATTCTCAAATAATATAAATACAACACAAAAAAAATAAATAATAATAATAACATATTTATATAGAGTATCATTGTGATTATTTTTTTAAATAACATTGATTAAAGAGTTTAGAAACTATCAATCAAGAGTTCAAAAAAAAAACATAAGTTTTAAATATAACACATCCACTTATTCTAACTATTGCTTGATATTTTTTTTATATTTTTATCGATATTTTTGGGAAAAAAAAATTAACTGTAATCAACGTTTATAAATATTTTATACTATCTTCATCTGGCTCTAAGAGTTTTATTTAGATATTTGAATATTAATTATTATATCAAAATATTGTATAAATTAAGAAAAAATTGCAAAAATACTTTAATTAATGTCTTATAATATTAATAAAAAGATATTTGTAAAAAAAAAATAATAATTATATAAATACAAAAATATTTTTAATTTATTTATAAATAATTGGGTGTGGGTGGGGGGTGGGGTGATGTGGGTAGAGTAGGATAGAAGACTAGGGGAGCAATGCATGCAGTGAATTTTGGGGAATAAAATTAGAAGGGTGGGGGTGGGGGTGGGCGTGGGGGAGAGAAGGTTCTCCTGATTGGCTGCAGGTGGTCTTAAGGAGGGGCAGGGCGCGCGTGGGGTACCCTCACACAACCCCATGACAATTATTAATAATAATAATTATTATTAATATTATTATTATTGTTATTTTTTATTATTCACTATTTATTACACTTAATAATTTAATAATTATTATTTTCCTATTCACGCTTCATGTGCATTCTCATATATATACCATACCCAATAACACATTGTTATGAATTTAATAAGAATTAAACTCTAAGCCCAACTGTCTGCTTATTGAAATAATTAAAATAATAAAATAAAACAAATAATCTAATTGGTGTACTTAGGACAATCATATTTGGATCTACGAGACTTTTGTATTCTTCAAACATATGGTGCAATTCTTAATGAGAAAATCTTTAGAATTTATGTCGTTATTTTCGCAATAAGATATATAAAGTAATGGTTCTTGCGCCTATATCTGGGATCATAACCTTAATTTATATCACTTGTTATTAATTGACATCATCATTTAATTAATAAGTTAGTGGGTTTCTGCACATAGGAGACCCGCACTTACTAAATACATTTAAACCCAATAAATTTAATGGATCACTTAATATAGATTTAATCTACCGATAACCCCAATAGTTACATTTAACCCATAATTGAATTTATAATCCAACAATCTCTCACTTGAATAAATGTACACTGAATAAGTTTATGAGTTCATGAAAATCTTGCTATCAGATCATTTTATGTATTTTATCAATCTAATCTATAAATTATATTAATGCGGATCAAAGCGGTCATCACTACATTTATCATATTGGGATCGATCAGTGGTCACAACATCAATATAACTTAAGATTTGATCAAGTGGGATGCACAACATGAAAATTTCATGTAATTGTGATCTTAACATATCTATTTCCAATTGATCCACCTTAACTTTATGTCAGAATAACTGAATATTGAATACTTAAAAACTGAATATTGAACAGTGCATACTAAATACTGAATACTAAACAGTGCATACCG